GAGCTTTACTTGTGTTTCTTATAGAATTCAAGAGATTCTTATACTAATTACAGTAGTAACTAAATAAGACAATACTATTTCTGGAACTTATTTTAATGTTTCACTATTTATTTAAGATTTCTGTAGTTTATTTTAATAATTAATTTCACTGTATTTTATTTACAGTATCTAACAATAAATTTGTGGCTGTACTCTTAAAACATTTTTTTGTCTATTTCATTGAATAATGTCTGTTTCATGAGAGAATATGTAATATATTCAAAGGTGTGAACTGCCACAGGTCCATAGCGTTGACACAGGCACCATGCTGCGTAAAGATGAACAGATGGAGTCTAGTTACCACTTCAGCTAAAACCAACAAATTCAGAACAAGAAAGCAGACACAAAAAGTGTGAATAACATTAAATAGACCTACCTTTACAAGCAACTCAGCTACCTCATAGTGACCGTATGAACAGGCGTTATGAAGAGGCACAAGATCACTGTTAACACAAGACCAAGAATAAGACAAGGTTTTGTGAGTACAATAATGAAAAAAAGATTTTTGACTTTTGACTGCCTTTATATGAATGCTTGGGTTCAAAGTTAAGTAAGTAATTTCGACACATTCCTCAGATTGCAAGAACAAACAAAAATTGTGTTTACAGCAAAGTCAAGGAGATAATACACATGGTTTGGAAAGCATAGTCCTAATTATACATGTTAACATGAGACTAGTATAATCAAATTAAATACTAACCTCATCTTTACCAAGTTACATCAATTTTTCATCTACGGATGCACCGATATTAAAGGAATAGGAACCTAAAAGTGAATATTTGCTGAAAATGTACTCACCCTCGGGCCATCCAAGATGTTGATGAGTTTGTTTCTTCATGGGATCAGATTTGGAGAAATGTAGCATCACTTGCTTACCAATGGATGGATAGTGACTGGGTGCCGTCAGAATGAGAGTCCAAACAGCTGATAAAAACATCACAATAATCCACACCACTCCAGACAATCAATTAACATCTTGTGAAGTGAAAAAACTGCATGTTTTTAAGAAACAAATCCATCAAGACATTTTTAACTGTTGATTCTGGATAAAATATGAATTCTCTAATCCCATAATAACGCTTTCTCCAATGAAAAAGTTGTCTTGTCCAAATCAGGAGAGAAATATGCACAGACCAAGCACCATTTACAAGCCAAAACAGTTCTAAAAAAATTTGGTGGATTTTGATGTAAGAGGACTTTTTTCACTGGAGGAAGCGTTATTATGGATTATGGACTACTTTGTCCAGAAGTGATGGTTTAAAGTTAAAACACCTTAATGATGGATTTCTTTCTTACAAACATGCTGCTTTTCACCTCACAAGACATTTATTGATGGACTGGAGTGGTGTGGATTACTTGTGGATTACTGTGATGTTTTTATCAGCTGTTTGGACTCTCATTCTGACAGCACCCATTCACTGCAGAGGATCCATTGGTGAGTAAGTGATGTAATGCTATTTCTCCAAATCTGTTCTGATGAAGAAACAAAATAATCTACAGCTTGCATCTACATTTGCACGATACACGCACAAGCATGTGCTGGAGTTATGCCTACAGTGCATCTTGACCCGTAGACGTCCATTGTGAGTGCTTTGTATGATTTATTACAAACTATTTCTGTGCTAACTGACAGCATAGAGCTTAACTGAAACTGCACTTTAAGGCACACTAGAGACAAACATCGTACCCTTTGTCTTTAGCGTGCACGTCGGCTCCATGCTGCAGCAACAGCTGCACTGTCTGCACACGGTTATAACCCGCGGCCAGATGCAGAGGCGTGGACTGAAACCAACAATCCATTCAGAAACACATATGCAAACTATTTATTCAAATGAAGATGCATGCAGAACCTGGACCGATTACACATTACAGTTTTTCTCAATTGCTTTGGCTCAATTCTCGAATGAAACTTTTTTTTCCCAAAACAATAAGTTCAGATCTCTGAACAATTAGCTTCTTGTTCACATCAGATTGGAATTTCTTATTGATTTGAGCAAATTGCAAATGCTTTGGCACATGTGTGCAAACAGTAAGTACAATTGTCTGCAGTTTGCACAACAACTAATTGCATATGGCTTGTGTTTCGAAAAATGTGCCAAAGCAATTGAGAAAAACTGTAAATGCCAGGCTACATTATGTGTTTTATGTGAAAGTTATACATTAACAATCGCACTGTCAAACAGGTATGGAGATAACATTAGCATATTTAATTCAATAAATCACCTTCCTTCCATCACTAGCATGACAGTTCACATTTAATGGTGTGAGGAGGGTCATCAGTTTTTCTTAATTTCCACTGCTGTATAAAAGCATTGAGCAGCAAGTCAATTAAAGGAACAATGCGAGGCACGTCAGCAATTTTCATCTCTCCTCAGGTCTCCTGAACAGTACTGAGCTTAAATTGTTATTACCTTGCGCTCTCGAGTAGTTCATCTTTTCTATAGTCACCTAGATTTAAGAAAGAATGAAGTATATTATCATAAATGGAAATCTTATTTGAGCCTAAATGAAAAGCAAAGTCACCAGGAGAACATGTCAGCCTGGAGTAAATTGACAATTACTAGCCTTATAAACAAATAGAGAAAATGGAAATGGGAATTATGGGAATCAGAAGCAAGTGTTTCAAAAGGATGTGCGGCAACTACATAGGACAACAAATAAATAAATAATACAAATAAAATAAATCTCTTCATATAAACAAACTGCTTTGCCTGTGCTCTTTCCATTTAAAATCAGAGGCGACCACTGCATTTTAATCACAATCCAAACAAAGATGCTAAATACATGTTATTCAGATTGTAATTAGATTGCATAATTTCGAAATCTGAAGCAAAAACAGAATGGTCTGACTTTAGCTTTGTTAAACTATACTACGTAAAAAATCTGAACGAAACAGAAACAGCAGATGAGCTGGATGAGATGTAAATGTCACTCTCTGACAGCAGGTGGCGCTTATGGAACAGCAGCTATTTATAGGCCACTGCCCCTTTAAGACCCAATACATGGATCCAATATAATGATGCACACGCGATTTCTTTCTCCACTGTTTACATTCACTTAAGACATAACTGACTGTGTTTACGAGAATACTTAAACACACGCAATACATGCAAGAACTGAATTGAATTCTCTTTAGCCTCTTCATGTGCTTAAAGGTTTAAAACGCTTGAATGTTGCTAGCCCTGAGACTGCAGACCAGTTCTGGATTAGAACTGGATCTTGATTCCAAACACTACCAGAGAAGCCAGCGTGTACCCAAGTCTGAGGTATGAAGGTAGAATGACGTCAAAAAGATTTGCATACACAGGGTAATATTTGTGGAAGTGGTCATAAGACTGTAAGCGTAAATTAAATTTGCATGCGCAAGAGAAGCTTGGTTTCGATTTAAAGGTGTAAATCGCATTTCAAGCGCAAGAAAAAATTATTATTTACTGTTATTCGTAAGTGTAATTCATGTATTGTGAAACTGCAGCTTCTGACTTCCATTTTTCCGGGTTCGAGAGCTCACCGGTCAGCACAGCTTTGGTGGAGGGTTCAGCCAGGTCAAGCGCTGTCCTTCCATCAGTGTTTCGGATCTTTGGCTCAGCACCATGTTGCAGCAAAACTACAAAAGACAAACATGATTTATACAGCTGCATTATACATTCAGCATGCAAATGAGATCTAAGTTTAATGCACTTTTCTCATCAAAACAAGTTATGAAAGTATCCTGTTAACTTTATTACTAGGAGGCTTTACCAATGCCTCTTGAGTGTCTTGAGTGTCTTTGGCTGTTACTGTACAGAGCTGTCAGAGTATCAGTCCAGCTGTGCCTCAAACCACAGAAATCAAATAAACGGATAGAACGTCGATTCTAATGCACGAGGCCTTGGAATGCGCGGGGCTTTGACGGCCCGGAACTTGTTGTCTGAGTCTGCATAATAGTTAATTCAGAAATAAAATGACAGTGTTAAACAAGATTATTAAAAAAAAGACATATTGAATAACTGAATTGAACAACTGAACAATCATTTATCCAGTGGAGAAAAAGAATGGGATGTTTACTTCCTGACTGTTGCACTATAGGCCTATTCTGCAAGTTTCGCTCTCAACAGCGTATTTAATCAATGCCGCTTAAAGTTTCTCAGAATTATTATTCAGATATAAAATGATTGTCCATACTGCTGCTGAAAGAGACGAGACGACGTTGTCACATACTAGGCTACGTGTTACTTTTCTCAGCGTTGGTCAAGACTGATCAATCCCTGTCGTTTGTGATCACTGTAGCGTTTGATTGAATATTTTAATTAAGATTATTAAAACGGACGCCCATTTCTATCAAATCATTCATGCATTTAAACAATTAGATTTAAGCAATTATGTATTTAAGTGCATAAACATATGTAGTAACACAAACAACGTACAGAGATTTTTATACAGCTATGTGTACTCCATTGTCTGAGCCGCCATGCGGCCCCTGAGGAATATCAGCTGACTCGGACTCGGAGTGTGAATATGATTCCCAAAAATAATGTTTAGGAAGGCAGCACACTTGGTTTGAGATACAGCATAGATCTTACGTTACGCAATGTCAGGCAAACTATACTATATGTATCATTGAACTCCTATGATGTCAAATATAGAACACGGAAAGACTATGATATACGTCATAACTTCCATCATAATGAATGCGATTTATGCGAATGTTACTGAACACCGAATACACTTCAGTTTCAAAAACACTCAACACTGACAAAATATAAGAAATCGGTGCTGCCATCTGCACTGCAGTACCTGTTTTGTTTTGTTTCCATAAAAGTTACATTGACAATGACAGCTTTGAAAATTAAGTATCAATCCATTAAAGAATAACTATTTTAATTTTTAACCGCACACTAAAGCATTTAGATGTTTTCCTTCAATTTATGTGAGTACATCATAAAAAGAATAAAACATGTCTGATATTACATACATACTTTAATATGCTTTATACAAAACATTATTGTCTTTAAATGTTTCATACCATAAACACTTAAGAAAATGTTAATATTATTTAATGAAAAAGCATTAAAAAAATCTTATCTCATCAAATGTCAAATGTCAAGTCAGTGTCAAAATAACACTGAAAATCAACATTTAAAATGGGGGAGGTGGAGGAGGAGGTGGTGGAATACATTTTCTTCCAGTATTAGGAGGAGGAGGAGGCGGCGGTGGCACCATGGAGGCATTTTGTGGAGGTGGAGGTGGGGCTGGAGGTAGTGAAGACCCACTGTAGGCAGAGCTAGGAGGAGGAGGAGGAACAACCATCTTGCCCTGAATGGAAGGTGGAGGAGGTGGGACAGGGACATTGCCTGGAGGAGGTGGTGGAGGAGGCGGAATAGCCATATTACCCTGGGGAGGAGGAGGTGGAGGGTTTGCTGAAGTCAATGAGGTATTTTGGCCAGGTGGAGGTGGAAACAAAGAACCTCCATACACAG